CGCCTGAGCTCTCCACTTCCTTGCTCACTCACTCCCTCGACCGCTGCTCTCTCGCTCGCTTAAGCCCGCAGTCGTCGTCGCCATGGCCGGCTGGCTGCTTCGGCGATGCCGCATTCCCGCTGCCCCGTGCTTCCTTGTGTCCCTCACAGTGCGCCACCGCTCAACCGCCTCTCTTTGGCCTTGCGAGCCACTTCCGGCCCTTCTTCGCGGTCGAAGGCCAGCCGCCACAGTGCCGTGTGGCGGCGTGGGCGCGCCTGTCTTGTGCGGCCAGCCGTGCTTCGCCCATCTCAGGACATGCAAGATGGTCCTGCGAGTCCGCTATGCTCCCTTGGTGCTCGTCCACCCCCCTTGCCGCCGTTGAGAACCACGGTGGCCGGAAGAGCGAGCGCCGGCGAGGCTGCCGCTGCCGTCGCTGGCTCACGTGGTCGGTCCTCCACCGGCAGTCTTCGTCCGAGTTTGGACCTCCTACAAGTAAGGCTGGGTACATTGATGCTCCGGACCCTCCTTCGTCAGCCGGCGATCACGCAATGGCCGGAATCACGAGCTCCGTGAATCGCTTCTGCTTCCGGCCGAGGGATGAAGCTGATGGACTTCGCGCTCACATTCGACAAAGTGAAGGGGCCTAACTGCGAAGTCAGTGACTCATGTGAATAGTGCCGTAAGGACTGGTTTGTAATTATTTTGCATGAACTTTGAAAATTCATAGTAAATCGTAGAAAATTCGTAAAATAGTAAATGTGGACTTTTTGGAATCCTTGTGAAATTCTCTATGTACTAGATCTATAATATTACATGTTTTACTTTAAAGTTTTGGCTGTAAAAATATATTTATGCAGCTAGGTTTGTAATGCTAGTGGGTATTTGTCTTTTTCATAACTGTAGATCTAGGGCTCCAAATGTAGTGAAATTTTTGTGGCATGCTACTCATGTGATAGTTAATGTGTGGTAAAAATTTCATGAGTATTGGATGAAGTATGAGTGAGTTATTGGTTTATCTTGCTCTCACATGATTTCTTGCTTTAGCAACTTGTCTTTTTCATAGAGGTTGTTATACATATTCAAATGGAGTGAAATTTGTACAGTAGACTATTGAGAGGATATGTGAGCTACTGTAATTTTTGTAGAATTTATTGTGTATTTTTGGTATATGTTCATAAATACACCTTGATGTCTAAATAAATTAAGAAATGCTTTAAGAAAATTTATTTAGAGGTGAGCACCAGGTTTTTTGGTGTTCTTTAGTCATGTGTGACATGTTGGTAAAGTTGGTTTTGCCCAATTATGTGTTCACAACATAAGTTAATAATTATTTTCTTGCCGATGTGGTTTATGGACAGATCTGGGAACTTAGCAAAGTTCTTCATGATAATGTGCTTTGTTGTGAAACTTGTTTATACAAAAGTTGTAGATAATTCATGTATCTAGCTGCTGTTAAAATTTGGTGCCATTTGGCCAAGTAGTTTAAGAGTTACAGTTGTTCAAAGTTGGGTTATACAATTGATTGCTCTCTGTCTTGTTTAGACCAGTTTCTGTAAATGTATAATTTCGACCTACTTAACTTGGGAATCATGCTGTGATGGTTATAGATGAAATGTACATAATTTCATAAGATTTCCAAAATGTCTTCTTTTAAGTCATTTGGATTTGTGTAACTCCAGTTATAGCTAAATCTTGTAGCTGCTGTTTGCATGTCCAGAAATTGACAGATTTCAATTATAGTTGTTTGCTTGTATATTGCTAAGTGTGGCTCAAACCTTTGATGATGGTTGAGTTAGAGTACCTGAGATCTTGGGAAACTTGTGTCATGCTTGGTGTTGTCGTCTTCTTTGCTATCGTGGGATGATAAATTGTGCGATATTTAAAGTAGGCAATGCGAAGTGCTTGTGCATGATTAATGTAACCTTGTGCTTGTCTTACTTACTGCATGCGATGCATTGTCTATTGCACTTCCATGTATTCATACACTTGCATATTGCATCTCATCTAGGTACGCTAGATGCACCACGTGAAGGATGCGATGTTGGAGCCAAACCCGAAGACATCGTTTGATGGATCTATCCCGAAGATGGAAGGACTAAACAAGTGCTAGGACCTGAGATGTCACCAGGACGGTGCAACCTAACTGAACTGACTTGTGTCGGATCCCAGGCAAGCCCCGGAGCATATTAAGCCTCCTAATTTCCGAAATGCAGTTACAGTATTATTGTTACATATATATATTGTTGCATTAAGTTTAGGTGTTGGATGCAAACAATTGCTGCATTGGTTAGCCAATCCTTGTCCAGATATTGTTACCCTGAATCTTATGTAGCTCAGGCTCGAGTAGTGCTTAGCCCAGCTTAAACGCGGTAGAAGTCAGGTGATTTCCTGTCACCTGCGAGATATAGGAAGGTACATGTGGCACGGTTGGCTATTCTTGCTATCGTGGAAAAGAACCAGTCTTAATTTGAAATGAAGACCGGACGGAGGCTTGCCGGTTTGCAGTGACTCCGTCTGTGTCGCTTAAGGACTGATTCTTGGAGCCTTTCCTGTTCATGTTGAACGCATGCCTCTCTCTTAGTTGGCCGTGTCCGATGACCGACCGCGAAGCCGAGTAGCTCACCTCAGGCCAAGAGTCGATAAGTATAAAGTGCGCCTCGGAAAAGAGCCGTAGGCGTGAGTCCAAGGGCAGGTGATTTAAAAGTCCTGATCGTCCTGGCAGAAGGGTAATCCCTGAGAGTGCTGGCGCTGATCGAACCCGCGAATTTGGTTCCTGAGATGTTCCAAAGGTGACCCACGGCTACCCTTGCAAAGTATGCCAGGGTGAGAGTTAGGAATACCCCCTCAGCTGAGTTGTAATTCGATTCGAGTCGCCGTCTCTCCCGGTTAGTGAGAACTTGACGGGCTTATCTCCAATGTAGATACACTAAATAACCTAATGGTTCGGAAATGATGATATGATGATGATAGCCTTATTATACCTGCTATGGTTAATATTGTTTGCTCCTAATAAGTGAGTGCTCTAGTACAGGTGCTAATCTAGTGGACAGGTAAATGATGATAAGCTTGATGCTATGTTTAAATTGGTTACTATGCTCATAAGCTCTTTTATGCAAATGTGTCAAGCTAGCCCACCTCATAAGCCTTGCATGACCCTTGGTGTCATTTGTTTTGGTTTCCGACGGGTAAGTCTGGCTAAGTACCCTCTCGTACTCAGGGTTTATCCCACCATGTTGCAGGTGAAGTTCTTGGCCTGTTGAAGATGGTGGTTAACCACCGGTGGCTCGGTGATTCTATAGTTACTTCTCATCTATATGCTTTTGTCGGATGATGTCACTTATGCTAGCAAGGTATTTGGAACATATATTAATGTAATCTTTTGAAAGCTACGTTGTTTTCACTAATCGGTTTTGAAACCCAAACTTGTACTATTATTTGTGAATCCATTTATAATATTATTTTCCGCTGCAACCCTGCGTATGTGATGTGTATTTGCTTAATCGTGCGATCTTCGTTGTGATGTTGATTTTCCGAGGTCTTTCGGGACACTCGGCGGACTACCGGGTTTATATGAGTGAAAGTATGTGTGTGTCAACGTGTTAGCGGGGACAGCCGTACTTGATCTTGTATAAATTGGGCGGTTCTGTTACATTTGCCGTGTGCCAAGGCACGAAAACACTCGGCAAACCCTTTGCGTAGTGTAATGGCACTCGGTAAATTTCTTAATGGCAAACAGTCTTTGCCGAGTGTTTTTTGTCGGGCACTCGGCAAAGACTTTGTCGAGTGCCCAAAAAACACTCGGCAAATATTTTTCCAAAAAAAACAGCACCACCACGCTAGCCCCTCCACTAACAGCGCCGCCGCCATCGCCGGCGAGCTCATCGCCTCCTCGTGCTCGACTGGCTCGCGCAGCTCCTGCGCCTGCCGCCACGCCCGCCGCCGACACACCAGTCGCCGCCACGCCCGCCGCCAACATGCCACCACCACCACCACGCCTCCCACCGATGCCACGCCACCACCACGCCTCCCGCCGACGCCATGCCACCACCAGCACCACACCGCCATCGGGAGAGAGGGGGGAGCGGCGGCGGCCAGATCCGGGGAGGAGGAGGGGAGGGGCGGCGCCTAGATCCAGAGAGTGAGGGGAGGGTGGGGCCACGTCGGAGAGGGAGGGGAGGGGCACGCCGGAGGAGGGGAGGGAGGGGAGCGGCGCGGCAGCGTCGGAGAGAGGGCCTCGGGCGGGCGGATCTGGGGAGGAGGCAGGGAGGAGGAGAGGAGGAGAGTCTTGCCGGATCTAGTGAGAGGAGGAGGAGGGGGCGCGGAGAGAGGGGAGGGAGGGCGGGGCTGTGCTGCGTCGAGAGGAGGGAGGAGGGGAGGAGGGGAGGCGCCAGAGAGAGGAGGGGGGGGCGCCACTGGCTGGAAAGGGAGGAGGGTAGGGAGGGAGGGGGCGGCAGCCGGGGAAGGTGGGGGTGGCGTCGGCGGGAGGAGGGGAGGGGCGCGGAGGCATCTAGGTGAGGGGAGCGGCGGGCAGGGAGCGGGGAGCGGGGGCAGGAAAGGAGGGGGTGTGCGTGCGTGTTAAGTGTGCGCCGGGCGGGGGCTTTGCCGAGTGCCCTAGATCTGGCACTCGGCAAAGCAGTGTTTGTCGAGTGTCCAAGACCTGAGACTCGGCAAAGGATTTTTTTTATTTATTTTTCTCTTTTCATGGAGGGACACGTGGCGCGATGTTTGCCGAGTGTTTTTCCCATATTTGTCGAGTGCCGGAGTTTGCCGAGTCTTTTTCAGTATAATTGCCGAGTGTCAGAATGTTTGCCGAGTGTTTTCTAGTAAGGCACTCGGCAAATAGAGAGTTTGTCGAATGTCATAATCTTTACTGAGTATTTTTTGTTTGGCACTCGGCAAAGAGATGGTTTGTCGAGTGTCCGATAAAATACACACGGCAAAGAATATGACACTCGGTAAAGCCTTTGATTTCAGTTGTGGGGCCAGTATCCAAATATGTGAGGCAAGATCTATTTTTCATTTTATATTTTATTTTCAAATAAGGGTAAATCAGTCATCTTCTTGACAAACCATGGGCACCGCGAGCGTGTGTGCCTGCGGCCTTCCTCCGAGGCTAGCACCGCGTCGAGCACAACCAGTGCCTTCCCGGACATGCTCTTGTCGGCGTCTACAAGAGCCTCTACAAGCATGGGGACGAGCCCCGCGGTGGCAAGGCGCACCGCGATGCGCTCAATGTATAGCACCAGGTGATAGGTGGCGACCATGCCGGCCTTGGTTGCCTGAGGGCAGAATGGAGACTTGATGATCTTTGCCAGCGCGTCTATGACCTCGTCGACCGTTAAGCTCATATCAGTGAACGCCCTGTCGCATGGGACGACATCCTTGATCGCCAGCACAATGTTCAGCCTTCCAGCCAAGCTGTCGTTCTCCGCAATGCAGACCAAATGCCGCCAGGAATGCCTCATGGATGCGCCCCGTAGGTGCGGCGTTAGTAGCAGTAGCGAGCGACTCGAAGAGGAGCTTGGAGGCCTGGACGGGCGTGACAAGGATCTTGGGCGTGGGGATCCGCTCGACGTCGCGAGAGTGGTTGGCGACGCACTAGTCCTGGATGACGCGGCGGATGGCATGGTTGGGGATGAGGACCTCGTGGCGGAACAGCGCCCTATCGGCCTCTATCGGGTCTAGATTCGGAGCTGAACGATGTCGCAGAGGGGCCAGATAGAGGGTTATGCGAAGGGCATAACCTCAGTTATGAAAATACCCTCAATATTACAAATTATATTTAATAAATAATGTTTCTCAATTAGTTCGTTAAAAAAAAGAAAAAAATGAAAGTACCGGCAAGTACCAAGGTACTTTCCCAACCATTGTAAAAGATCTCATGTTTATATACTCATTATAAGATACTCCAAATCTTACTACGCCATTTTTTTTGAAATAGCCTATATTTTTTAATATATTATTATAATACCATTATAGTAGTATATAAAATAAGGATAACCATTCTATGTATACTTGCAAACTTGATGTACATACTACCATAGATGATCTAGTAAGATCGTATACTCTGTCTATATGTACTTCATCGAGCCATATATACCTTAAATCTAAAGATATAAACATGGGAGTAGTTACTCCCTAGGAGTAGAAAATAATTGCCCTATAAAATATTTACTATAGTTCATATTTTTATAAAAGTAATTTTCATAAAAAATAATTATATATATTAAATTAGTTTAAAATTACATTCCTTGATGCAAAGACGCCACGTCGAACCTCCATGCTGCCAAGATCTCCAAGGTCAGCGCCATAGCATGCGGCACCGAGCTGTGTAACCTCGACGCCAAAGGTCACGGCGCCGACCCAAGGTCCAAATACGGGAAAAAGGCAACCAGTGGTATAAATGTGAATATTTTTTTTGTAAGAAGGGTTATATCGGTGCAGAAAGTGACCAATACATAAATATTTGTAGTTTTATCGTACGTTGTGATCGGATGTGGCCTAACACTCAATGACACAGGGTTTATACTGGTTAAGGCAACGTGTCCTACGTCCAGTTTGAGTCTATCAGTGACTTTATTCCTGAGCCCAGGTGCTCGAAGTTTGCTGTGGGGTTACAAACGGAAGGGAGTAAGATGGGGGGTGCAAGAGGTCCGGTCGGACTTGGAACCCAAGGGCCAAGAGTGACGGGAGCTCCTGCGTGCACTAAGTATTCGAGCATGTGCTCTGTGTAGCTTTAGAGTGTCTAAAGCTAATAGAGGATGAATCAATCGTTGGTTGTTTGAATCGTTGGAGAGTCCTTGGCGTCCTCTAAAAAAATCCTCCTCATTGAGAAAGAGCGCGCCCCCTTTTATAGATGAAGGGGACGGCCTTACAAGCGAGAGAGAGAGTGCGAATGCTACTAAGTCTTGTTGCCCATGTCATTGGGTACAAGATGATGGTAGGCGCCCACAATACTGTTTTGTGGCAGACGCATGTGGGAGGTTTTACCGTATTCACCATGTATGGCAAATGACGGCGCCCACAACACTGTCGATGTCTAGAGGCATGTGGGGGGTTTACCGTGTTTGCCTGGTATGGGAATTGATGGCGCCCACAACAATGTAGGGCAAATGTTAGCGCCCACAACACTGCTTGGGTTCTGACATGCCTCGAATGTCGTAGGGCACCCTTCTGACGTGTCATGTCGGTACTGTCCTGTAGGTGTACAGGGTACGGTCCTTGGTATTGTGGTTTACTGGAGCGCCCTGCCTTACTTCCTCTGCCCGTTTCCTGGGTCCTCACCTAGCGGGCGTCCCCGATCGGTTGGTCCTAGTCGGCTCCGACTACGCCAGTCGGAGAAGAGCCATAAGCACATGTTCGGTGCATCCCCATTTGAAGACGTGGGTCGGAGTTGGAAGCGAGCGACGTTCCTCCTTGGCCAGGCCTTCTAGTCGGAGATGCGGTCCATAGTCAGAAGCGAGCGTTGTTCCTCCTCGGCCAGGCCTTCCGGTCGGTGTGGCAGGCCGGAGTCAGAAGCGAGGCCTTCCGGTCGGAGATTGGATTGTCCTTCTATCCTGCCATTAGGTTTTTGGGCCGGCCCAGGAGTTGCGCGTCGTTCGCAATCATTGTCTGCTGGGCTGAGCTTTTGCTGGGAAGCAGGTCCACGAGGGACCCCAGGTTTATGAACCCGACAGGAGCCCCTGAGCCCCCGAGCGATTCGGGTAGAATCATCTGGGGGATTTTTGTCTTGACAGCGGGTGCGCTCGAGCGCACCCACGGGTATAGCCCCCGAGCCTCTGGGCGATTTGGGTAGAATTGCCTGGGGGGTTTTCGTGTTGCCACCGGGGGAATTTTTTGTTTTGTCAGCGGGTGCGCGCGAGCGCACCCGCGGGTGTAGCCCCCGAGCCCCCGGGCGATTCGGGCATAATCGCCAGGGGGGTTTTGTCAGTGGGTGTGAGTGTGTGCACCTTGGTGGGCGTAGCCTCCTCTTCCGAGTTTCTTATCCATCATTTCCAAGAGCGTGGTCCTAGGCGTTTGGTCACGACCGAGGGACTAGGTGAGACAGAGTCGTTAACCGGGGCGTCGGGCGCGCCAAGGGGCAGCCGAGGGATCGAGCAAGACAGACTCGCGGACCAAGGCATCGGGCGCAGCTGAGGGACAGCCGACGGATCAGGTGAGATAGAATCGCAGACCAAGGCGTCGGGCGCAGCCGAGGGACAGTCGAGGGATCAGGCGAGATGGACTCGCGGACCAAGGTGTCGAGCGCAGCCGAGGGACAGCCGAGGGATCGGGTGAGATGGACTCACGGACCAAGGCTCAGGCACAGCCGAGGGATAGCCGAGGGATTGGGCGAGATGGAGTCGTGGACCTAGGCATCGGACGGGCCAAGGGATTGGGGGAGTCGGAGTCGTGGATCCAGGCGCTGGGCGCAACGAGGGATCAGGAGAGTTAGAGTCATGGATCCAGGCATCGGACGGGCCAAGGGACAGCCGAGGGACCAGGCGAGACGGACTCGCGGACCTAGGTATTAGACGGGCCGAGGGATCGGGCGAGTCAGAGTTGCAGATCCAGGCGCTGGGTGCAACGAGGGATCAGGCGAGTCAGAGTCATGGATCCAGGCATCGGACGGGCCGAGGGACAGCCAAGGGATCGAGCAAGATAGACTCGTGGACCAAGGCATCGGACGAGCCAAGGGATCGGGCGAGTCAAACTCACAGATCTAGGCTCTGGGCGCAACGAGGGATCAGGCGAGTCAGAGTCGCGGATCCAGGCATCAGACGGGCCGAGGGATCGGGCGAGTCAGATTCGTGGATCTAGGCGCTAGGCATAGCAAGGGATCGGGCAAGTCGGAGTTGTGGATCCAGGTGTCGGACGGGCCAACGAACAGCTGAGGGATCGGGCAAGATGGACTCGTGGACCAAGGCATCAGATGGGCCGAGGGATTAGGCAAGTTGGAGTCACGGATCCAGGCGCTGGGCGCAATGAGGGATCAGGCTAGTTAGAGTCATGGATCTAGGCGTCGAACGGGCCGAGGGATCGGGCGAGTCGGAGTCATGGATCCAGGCACTGGGTGCAATGAGGGATCGGGCGAGTCAGAGTCATAGATCTAGGTGTCGGACTGGCCGAGGGATCGGGCGAGTCAGAGTCATGGATCTAGGCGTTGGGCGCAATGAGGGATCGGGCGAGTCAGAGGCACGGATCCAGGTGCTGGGCGCAGCCGAGGTCGTGCCGAGGTGTTTGGGCGTCTTGAGCCCCCGAGCCCCGTTGGGCTCGGTAGGGATCAGTTTGAGTTTTCGTGTGTTACCCCATCCGTAGTTTTCGCAACCAGAGGGGCTGAGCTAACGTTGCTTGCCTCGATGGCTGGAGTGACGCGCTCGGTGAGCTCGCTAACGGGCATGTTCGAGTGAAATCTGGGTCCGTCGTTCATGATGGGGTCGGCATAGCCCTCATGTGGCATTCCACTGTTCCTTAACCCGCATCCTAACAGATGCCTAGGTCGTTCCAGAGACCGACCCAGGTGGGCCGTTGGCCTCCCCTCGATGGAGATTCTGTGGGCATAGCTCGAGGTTAGAATCGAACAAGAAGGTTGAGATGACCCGGTCTGCTTCAGAGTAGACTGGGCGAGGGCCACTCGGGGCTCATCTGTGTTTTCACCCCTGGCTCTGTTTGACGCCGGGCGGCCTCGAGCCCTTCGTGGGCTGGCCTTCGAACCCCGATCGGTCGCTGCTCATGTTGAATGAGGCAACTGCCACTTCATGATGCAGCATGGAGCGTTCTGATGCATTTAACTGCATATGTGATGCTTCGGAACGTATGGGATGAATGAATGTGTGTATGGATGAAATGTGTGAATGCGTGCATGAATGTATGAATGATTGCAGATAAATGAATGATCATATAAAGAAATAGTGGGGGTTGGTAATGTTACCTTGATGACTCGAGTGATGGGGTTTGAGGAGCTCCTATTGGATATGTCCGATCAGGATCCGCGTTCGTCATTCGTGATGGAGTCAGCATGGCCCACATGGGGCATCCCTCTGCTCCTTACTTGTCTCTCGGCGTTCGCCTGAGCCGTCCGATTAACTCAGGAAGCCCGTTGGTCTCTCCTGGGCGGAGATCCCGTCGTTGGGCCCTTTCATGTCTTGCCTAGGAAGGTGGAGGGACACCTACGTGTGGTTGTGCCTTGTTTCCCACTCCCAGCGTGCGGTAGTGGCAGGCCATACCCAGGCCACGTCCCGTCTGACCAGGCACCGTTTCATCGGGTAGGGCGCGTCCCATCGGTCAGGGCATGTCCCGTCGTATCCCATCCACATTGAATGGGGGAAGGGAGAGGGTTTCTTGCCCCAATCCCTCGCCTTTCCCCAATTGCTATGGCTTCTCCTTAAATAGGGGAAGGGAGAGGGCTTTCGTCCTGTCCCTTTGTCTATTCCTCATCTGCCGCCTCTTCTCCTAATTCCTTCTCACCAGGAGCGTTTGAGTGTCG